ATAATGTCTGGCTCTCATCTGCATCCATACTGAGAAAACGCAACGAGTTCCGGAATAGGTGTACACTGTTGCCGGTATGTGGACTATCTTCTCTCCTTGAACTGCAGGTCATTGCGTGATGTAGCTTATCAGCAGTACATACTGTGTGTTCATACAGGGAAAAAAACATGCCAGCTAGAGGCGCTGGCGCTGCAAACAGTCCTTCATAACCTTTGGGCGGTGGCAGTGGTCGTAGCTCAACAGTGAGTCACTGCGACCGATGGTACAGCCGCTCTTGATCTTCTTCCTGTAAAATCAAGAACAGCAATCGCAGACAGGTTCATCGATCGCACGCAGTATAGCCTAGGGAAACAGGAGATCTACTGCCGTCCACCTCATCAGGCCGGTTTCGGAAAGCTTCACATTTCGTAGTGATGCAGTCCAAAACAATTCTACAAATGCTTTGGAAAAGAAAGAACTACATACAGTAGCTAGTGTTTTAGAAATATTGCACTCACCTCCGCTTTTCGACTGACGCTACACAGCGTGGCGTGCGAAAAAAGGACACACCACAGTTTCATCCACCAGCGTCCGCATCGGATGAGTGCATAATATTCCTCCTGAAAATCCTCCTCTGCCAAATGGCTGGAACACACGCGACGGATTTACATTGTAGTCCCGAAATTGTCAAGCAAATAATTATGTCGCTTGATAGCTAAGCTGCTATGGTGCACTGCTCGGCCTGTGCCAAGCACAATCCTTCGGAAATTGGTGCAGGTTCATCCCAGGGGGGTTACCAGAAAGATTATGGTAGCCAACAACACAGCCACACAGCCAGAAGCCATGATGACACAAATACCCTCTTCTTCCATGGACAAACAGAAAGAAGATCCGAAATCCCAGTGTTTCTGGATCTGGCCAAAGGATCACCAAGTCTCAATGACGTCACGGGTTTGTGACGTCACAGCACGGACCCGAAAAGGACAATTGCAAACTGATATATCTCAAGAACGCTTGGTCATTCGACTCAGCGTCCAAAACTCTACGGACCATGAAGTTTTGATTTTTTGGGTGTAGTTCCCCTTTAAATCTGATAATTCTAGCCTGGACTGTTCTTAAATTTTGCCGGTTTTCCAGGCTGGGTGTTCTTCGGCGAGGTGTTCTTCGGCGCCTGATCTTACTGTATTGATGGCTATCATCAGTGTGCCATTATTTTCCGCTTTACATCGTGCTTTCTTCGGAGCTTCGTGCCAACTGCAATATGCAAGTCGCAGTTGGCACGAAGCTCCGAAGAAAGCACGATGTAAGCGGAAAATAATGGCACACTGATGATAGCCATCAATACGTACGTCCTCCTCGAAAAGGCCATTGCCTCGGGTTTGGTATTCGCAGCTGAGACCCGGCAACTAGAGCACGGAGTGCGTTGATCTCATTCCAAGGTGCAAATATTGAACCAGCACAGCACGAAAATACAAAGGCGGCTTTGTCCATGAACACAGTCACCTCGGCTGGTCGAGTGTTGCTCCGAGCCATATTCATGTACTTGCTATATCTCGTGTACATCTGACATGTGCGTCATGACCTACATGTACATGTATTACATCCATAGTCACTACATACAAGGGAGTGCGGTTGTTTTCAAGCTTTGTCAAGCTCCGTAGCTATATGTATAGGATATTGACCAAGACGAGGTCTATATTTCCCATATAGACCGAAGTCGAGGTCAATATCCTATTTATCACGACTCCTTTGCCATAACCCCAAAATTTGAACCTTTAGGAGCTATTTTAACATTTTTAGTATAGCATTTGTACTATAGTGTACATAGGATGTTGCCTATTTTGGGTACAAGACTGTAAGAACAACAGAGTGCAGCATCTGCAGCACAGTGGCTGGGTGGTATAAGGGGTTGCTTGAGATTCATACTGTTGTGAGTTCAAATCCTGCTTGTTCTCTTCCTTTGTCTTCTTTTGTTTCAATTTTTCTTTTTGAAGTGGAGAGAAAAATTCTAAGTCCCTCCAAAGTCGAAAGATTACAATGCCTAAGTGGTCGATACAAGCGGTCGATATAAGCGGTCGATATTGCGGCGATATGGGTAAGGCCGCGGTCACACCAAACAAGCCGTTTCCCGCTTGCGCTGAAAGTGGCTTGTGCTGAATGGGGCGGTTGGTCACACCACGGCGCAAAATCGGCTGGATTTTTTTGTGTGCTAGAGTTTTTTTTCTTCCCGCTCATTTTTGAATATGATTTTCTCTTGTTTTCACGTTGCAAACAACAGAGTTTTGTTGCTGGGCATTGGAGAGGAGTTTCATTGGAATCAGAGTGCTTGTTTGAAAGATTGAGGAAGGTTTGAGAGTCGTGAGTTTGTAGTGCAGCCATGGATCCTGAAACTAGACGCCGTGTTGTTGTCTGCATCTTGCTGTGCACTGATATCATGGTGCGCATGCTTCTAGCGAATACCAGTCGCCCTTGTCCGACGCTACCAAGGCAGATCGTGCCTCGTAGAAAACGCACAAGGAACGATGAGGACGATGATGATGATGATGACGATGAATTGCTGGCCGCTGTCCCGCTCCTGTTTGGCAAGCAGAAACGACGTTTCTGGTGTGCATTGCGTAGCCCTGGTGTGTGGAATGACGATGTCATTGTACACTGGAACACCATGGGCGTGCAGTGGGATGTTGCTGACTGGGAAGACGACCAGTATAGACTTCATTTGCGGCTGAGCAAGAGTGCATTCTGGACGTTGCATGGAGTTGTTGGTGGGTGGCTGGAGCGCTCTGTGACACATTACAGATTGCCAGTTTCCTCTGCAAAGCGGCTATCGATTACTTTGCACTGGATTGCGCATGGTTTGTCAATGTCACAACTGGCCTTGATTTACGGAATTGGGAAGTCTACCGCTGTTGCCATCGTGCACGACACGATATCAGTACTGAAGAAGCAGCTGGCCAATAGAGTGATTAAATTCCCAAGTGGTAAAAAGTTGCGAACAGTGATGAAGGAGTTCAAGGAACTTTGTGGATTGCCTCGCTGTGCAGGAGCAATTGATGGGACCTTCATGCGCATTAGAAAACCAGTGAAGTATGGTGATGCGTATTATTGCTACCAGAAGTATTCTTCTATTTTGATATTGGCGGTGGTTGATGCGAGCGGACAATTTACGTACATTGATGCAGGACGAGCGGGCTCGATGGGAGATGCCGCAACTTTCCACGCCAGTGGATTGGAGCAGAAAATCAATGACAAGACATGGCTCACAATCCTTGAGCGTGAAGAGAATAGGAATGTCCTGAATGGTACGTACATACGCCCATACCTTGTCGGCGATGCTGCATTTCCATTGGCTCCGACAATGATGAAGTGTTTCTCTGACAACCAGGCGCTTGAGCCCTACCAGCGCACCTTCAATTATCGGCTGATAAGAACGAGGAGAGTAGTGGAGCAAGCGTTTGGGCGTCTGAAAGGCCGCTTCGCAATTTTGGACTCGTCAAAGCTCCGGGACCCGATATTTGCTGCTGATGTTGCTCTGGTATGCTGTGCACTGCACAACTTCTGTGAAACCTTTGCGTCAACGGAAGGTGAGAGCTGGTACTGTGACCCACAAGAATACGGACCAGGTCCAAATGACCGGTTTGTTTTGGAAACCAATGCCACCGGTTCTGTTGTACGCGAGAAATTGGCACGGCATGTGCATACCCGTCGGCCTATCTGAAGGAAATCTTAGTTTCAATACAACTGTTTTGTCTTTTGCCAATCTGACTTGAGGAGTGCTGTATATACGATGTGTAGCGTGGCGTAGTGTGTAGCTACTGTAGCGTGCACTGCTGTGTGCTATAATCTTCTGCTACCATTGCTTTTGCTGCATAAATCTAGCTGTGTGCAAGTGACGTGTCGGTTTACTCAATTCAAATGTTTTGCAGTCTCAATTTCTGCCTTGATCTATGGCGCTACATGCAAATCTCGCCTACATGCGCAGTCTGACCCAATACATGCATCATGTTTCTCCTGTATGCTGTGATCTGAACTGTGCATCATCGTCTCTTTTTCCACATTCGCATTGTGACCGTTCAGTTGTAATTTGTTCCCTTGCTGTATGGATTGTAGATGTTTTGAACACTGCCTCTGTCTCTTGCATACATGTCAGGGACTCACACAAAATATTTGTACTTCGAGGTACATTATGATGAACACTCATACCGACAGTGTGTGAAATGCTTTGCGAGAAGCACGGTGGTGTTACAATATTGTCAACATGGTTATTAAAATTATTCTGCAAGCAAGCCTTTGCTGGTCGTGACTGACCTGACTTGTGCTAAAAAATATGGACATGGATTTACGCCGGTGATCTTTGCTGCAATGGGCTAGAGGGCACGTTAGTAGCAGGTGCCAATAACAGCTACTGTATACAGGGAAAGAAAATAATTAATAATATGTACAAACTGATAAGCGAAGGCTTCAAACAGAAAGACGGACTGTCTCAGACATAATATACAATGTACTGAAGTATCTACTTCTTAAGGACACCCTTGATCAGCTCCGCCTGGAAGGACATGATGGCCTTCAAATTGTTTGTGAGGAAGATTTGTTGGTTCTCCTGCAACTTGGCAGTAGTGTCGACAAGCTGCGTTTGGAGCATGGTGGAGTGCTTCTCCAAGCGCTCTGCCATCTCCCTGTCGTGCTGGATTGTCCTCTCGGCACGCATGCATCCTCCATCTTGGCTTTCGACGTACTGGCATAGATGTCCAGGAACTTGTCCATAGCAGACCCTTGCCTCGCCTTGGCACTTGCACCCCTAGCTGCACTGTGGCTGCTACTTGCTGCAGCCTCGTCTGGTGTCTTGAATGCCCGTTTTGCTGGCGGACGACCAATTGGCGTTGCTGGCGTTGGTGGGCGCTTGGCGCCTACTTGGATGTCGTCACTGTCACTCTCTGATGACGAGATCCAGTCGTCAACCAGAGATGCTGCACTCGCGGCTGCACCCCCTGGCTGGGTGACTGCTGTGGTGGTGGCAGTAGCCACTACAGGTGGTGTTACTGCTGTCGCTGCCAATGCAGGTTCCAATGGCACTTGTGTCGCTGCCACCTCCACGACAACTGCAGACGACTCCGGACTAGTGTCTACGGAAAAACTGAATCCCAGAGTCGGGTGGTCAGCAAACAGCTCATAGAAGAGCTGAAGATGGGGCCACTTTGCAACCTGTAAAATATCGAAGTAGACAACAAATAGAGTTGCCGTGAGAAACAATGTATGATACATTTGCACACTATTTCTATGAACGCGCACCCAGACTTTCTTCCAGTATATTCAGAAAGATTTTGTTCTTCTGTCATCTTCCTTTTACAATGCTCAATCACCGCACATCAGACTGTTGTAAATTGTATTTGTAGAAATAACGTACTTTAGATTCCCAGCTTTGCAAATGTTCAAATTGACAAAGATACTCACATCATGAACATGATTCCAGTCAATGTGCTCTGCTGGACTGGCGTCATCGTCATCGGAATCGGCAGCGGATCCCGTCTGAGGCTTCTTCTGCTTCAGCAGAGGTCGAACATGCTTCAGGAGTAATCTTTTCCCGGTGGCCTGTGGAGTTTGGGAACAATTTGAAAACATTATTGGTGTTGGGGAGTACGAGACAGGACTGGCGCATGAAAAAGGAACACGAACTATTATTCCATGATTTGCACCTGACAAAGACAAGCGAATCGTACCTTCAAATACTCAATCTTGTTCTTCAGTTTCTTGTCGGTCAGTTCCACCAGCCACTGCGGCACTTCCCGTCCGCCTTCTCCAGCACACTTCTTCAGTTCGTCAAAGATCCACGCTCTCTTTCTGGTATTTTTTTTCATGGTGGTCTCATACCTGGTTTTTTCTTCAAACCAAAGCTCCAGTAGTCGCCGCTCCAGTGCTACTGTCCAGGATTCCATGATGACCGATAAAAAGGCAAGGAGAGAAGTTTCACCAAGAACGAAACCAACAACGAAAGCCGGAAGGTGGCAGAACACGATGCAAGCTGCAAGATCATGCCAAGATGCGCTTTGAACGAGTTTATTTTTCCCGCCACTGCGCCAGAATGGCTGAAAGTGGCTGAATCCATTCAGCGCTCCCATTCAGCGCTTTGAAAACGGCTGACTGCTGAAAAAGGCTGAAGCCAAAAATTCAGCCGTTTACGTAGCGATGATGACGTCAAAAAGCGCTTTTTTCCGCGGAATGGCTGAATCGCGCTTGGTGTGACCGCGGCCTAATATAGGACCAGTCAAGGATCACGAGAATAGACCAATCCCGAAAAGATTGTCTGGGTTCGAAAGGGGGCATGTCACCTGAGAGTACACTGTACAACACATATATGGCACTACCCGATCAGCATGCAGCACAGGATGTGTTTGATAGTTTGCGTGTGAATGCGGGGGTAAGTACACGGTTTTCTCGTTAGTTGCATGCAAGAGAGACGATCCGACAGAAAGCAAATATTTGTGTGGGTTTCTCCCTCGCACTGATAATGTTCTGCTGTTGGAGTCGAAGTGCTAAGCCATAATCCTTGTTTCGCTCTTCTGTGTAGTGTGAAGAGGTCAACGTACATGTGGAGCTCACTTTGAAGAAGTAGGCAAGGCTGTGAGCGCTGTGGCTCAAAGCGATAGGCCCTAAATCGCACGAGATATTTCGAGCGCCATTGTTTGTTGCGAGCGCTTCGTCTTCGATGAGTCTTGCCTCTTTCCTGTCAGGTTTCCTCCAACAGGACCAAGCACGAAGTGACTGTACTCATCTGCAGCCGATCAATGTTCTACTGCGCAAGAAGATTGCGTTTTCGCCAAGCCAGTGCTCCGCCAAAGACCATCGCCATGTCACAACGTCGGAACGAGGTCATGATGAGAATCATCATTCGCGCGAGCTTGATGAAGAACTATTTCGAAACACAAGATAGTCTCTACCTCCGGGACGACAACTATGCGCCGGTCCTGGAAGGGGAGAATGTCTTCTGCGATAAGAGCGAAGACGACGGCGGTATTTCGGCAACCTGGAGTCAGCGGAGTTCGTCAAGCTCTTCCGCCTCCGCGATCCGGTACATGTGCAGTAGGGTGACATGTCGACACGAGCGTGCGGGAACACAGCATACACTGACTGTTGCGAGAGTTTGCGGAAGGAGTCCAAGTCGGGAAATCCATGAGCTTCAAAAGCTACCTGTAGGTGGGCGATGAGACTCCAGCTTCAGACTATAACAGTCAGGACTTGTAAATAGTTGAACTTTGTGAAGCAGCAGATCGAGAAGTTAGTTGAAATGGTAGCTGGTGCAGTATGTCGGCGCTATGTAGCTTGTATTTTTTACGGAGAGTCGATCACCACGCGAATGTTTCTCTCCTCATCGAGAGCTAGCTGGCCTCCAAACTCCGTCAGGGTCTGCCTAAGGTACCGAAGGTCCTTTGACTAGCTGCTGGCAGGACTCCATCAAATCCTTTAGCTTCAGCTCGGCGAGCAAAAGTCTCTCTCTCCTCCGCCATGAGCTGACACACACAAACTGAATACAAAACGATGCACTTCACACGAGCTGGCTTGCACGCGTGCCCCCTTTCACGAACCCAGACAATCTTTTCGGGATTGGTCTATTAGTGGAGGTCGATATAGAAGAGTGATAAGATGCGCTATCGCCACGTGCTGTGCAGCATATTAATTAATAATAATATTGAGTACAGCGGATCATCGGCATGGTTTGCTCAACACTGTATACTTCCTAGCCTAGCGTTCTAAGTGTTTCGAATAGTCCAATGAAGTGGCACGTGGACGCTGCATGGCATCTGGCTGGATTGGAGTTGTTTCTGTACTCTCGTCTCTTCTATACTCTTGCCCGCCGCACACATCGGATACTACAGTAAAACCTGGGTTAAGCGAACGCCCCTCGGTGCAAGCAAAAGCGTCGTTAAAGCCAGCTGGTCTTTAGAACCAAGTCCCATAGTGTCTGTGTACAACGGTCGGTGCATGGAAAAACGGTTAATAAGAGCAGGTGGTCGCTAAACCCAGAGGTAAACCAGGTTTTACTGTAGTATTTCTGAACACGACTAATCACACAGCATGATGTTGTGTTCGAAACCGGGATAAGTAATAAGCTAAAAAAATTGGACAAAACAAATTGAATACAAACAAGAACACAATTAACAACAAACGCACAGGAGGGAAGCGAGAAATGGCAACTTATCTCGCGAAATGTGGGCTTCCAACACTGCCAGAGTGTGGGATACCTACACGTATTAGCGACAGCGACAGCACTCCGCTCACTGAAATCCGACCCAATGTGCAAAGCTGGTACCCTCAACTTCCACGGCCCTTGACGCCCTGGCAGTGGAATTTAATGCGGCTGGACGTACACATTTACACCCACAATGATGTTATCGGAACTGGTCCAGGGCGCTAGCTTTTGCATTTTGGGTCGGATTTCACTGAGCGCAACTGCAGTACAGCATACTGTACAGCCGGGTGGTGTAGTGTGGCTCCACGGCAGTTCATGCCGGTACATGTAGCCATAACTATTGTTCATTCCACATGTATGTCATGACTAGTACTTGTCCTGAGCACTTTAACCAACTCAATGGAAGAAAATGACAATGGACCTGGTATGTCTACCTAGGCTAGGCGACAACTTACTCTGCACTTGAGATATTTCAGTTTGCAGGCAGGCAAGCACCCGGTACTGTACCCGGTAGCAGTGAACAAAATACAGTCTACATGTACAATGAAACGTTATAACGTGACACACATACACACACATACATACACATACACACACACACACATACACACATACACACACATACACACACACACATACACACACACACGCATACATACACACACACACACACATATACACACACATACACACACAAACACACACGCTGGGAATGGAGCACGGGATTGCAGTACGTTTTAAATCAAATCGCCCCTGCAGTGCTGTCTCCAAATCCGAAATGAATGGAATAGCACGGGTTCATCAACGAAATCAAGTAGCGCAGTACATGCAGTACCAACTTTGTCAGGCTTGTCAACGTCATGAAATATATATAATTAAAAGGGAGTCCCAGTAGGCTGCTCTAGTGTTGCTGCATCACATGGCTGGTAGCTCGGCCTATTTAGCTCGTAGTTGTACTGATGAGGCCTCTATGGCCGAAACAGCTTGCTGTCTACAGCATTGGGTATTACGCTCCTTGGCTTTTGTCTTGTTGAGCACTCTCAGTAGGCTGCTCTAGTGCTGCTGCATTACGCAATGCCTGCTACCTTTTGTAGTTTGAGTACTCTGGCGCTAGAGCAACGAGCTATCTTGATGTCTGTGGTGCCTCCTTTTCACCATGGCTGGTAGCTCGGCCTATTTAGCTCGTAGCTGTACTCATGAGGCCTTTAGGGCCGAAACAGCCGAAACAGCTTGCTGTCTACAGCATTGGGTAATTATAAGGAAGCATATTGCAGTATTCAACTCTCCGATGAGCTTCCTTTCTTCTAGGCCTGGGCTTTTTAATCCTTATGAATTGATGGATTCTCTACAGGCCTTGGCATAACTCCGTCTGTGTAGCAAGTTAGCAATGCATACAACCTGCCTCTGGGAGTGAACTCACAGACTGACATTCAAGCATTGATCCTATAATGAACTTTGGAGGTTGCGTTGCAACTATACCATAATTATAATAATATTCCCGTTTGTCTCTTTCCCTCAAACCAGTTAATATTTTATGACTTGGGGCTCCCCGCGTGCTAGAGTGTACGTGAAGTGTGTGGGTACAGTGAGGGCTGCGTCCCACCCGCCTGTGTGGATTTACAGGAAGTGTGAGTTACGAAGTCTGAAGAAGATGTTGAACGGTCTCTGCTGGGAGGACGACTACACCATAGCTCAGTGGTTAGAGCATCGCTGGCTACAAGTGAGGGTCCCTGGTTCGAGTCCTGGTGGTGACAGTCAATGTTTTCTTCAGACTTTTCCCGTTTGTCTCTTTCCCTCAAACCAGTTAAAATAATACTTGCAAGTAATATTATTATTATTTGAAACTCGGATGTTGAGCCATAAATAAATGTAGAAAGGAAAAGGACATAATTATGGATACATAACCTCGAACCTTCCAAGTTGGGAGGCTGTCGGTTAGCGCTACGGACATGATGACATGTGATTGTGTTGAAGCTAGGTGTCAGGACGTCGAATGTCTCAGTACTCTTGTCAGTTTTGTGCCTAGTTATTGCACTTTCTGACTGTATATAGTATCCAGTTACAGTGATGGAGAGTTACTCTTAACCCGTATACATATGTCCTTTTCCTTTCTACATTATTATTTTTATTATTGACTATTATTATTGAGTCACCTCCACCATTACACTGCGCTCTTTAGCTGACACGACCCTTCTGCACACAACCATCACCACTGCGTGGACACTTCCGTATACGATATCTAGAATTCCTTCAGACAGCTGGCTCGGAAATCAATCACTGTGACTATCAATGCAGAAATAATGAGCCGGAATCAATGTACTGTAAAAGCCATTTTTCTAACGAGGCACATACGCGATTTCCCAAAATTGACTAGTTTACGTTTGCAGGTTCGCAAATGAACCTGCAAACACACTCCACGATATACTGGGAGAATGCCACAGGGCCTCCCAGCGCGTGTACGGCAGTGGGTGATGGGCACATGGCGACAAGGTAGCTTGCGAACAGTATTGGTGGCGTTAAGCCTAGTAACTGCCAAGCGTCTTGGCGCGACGGGCGAGCAGTGCAATGTTTTGCCCCAGGGGCTGCTGGGGCTGACGACGTCGGCGGGTCGTGGGGTGAGTTTTCAGGCCTTCATGGCGCTCGGACAAG